TCTCTGTCTAATCGCTTTAGTCGCTCGCCTCAGTCGCTTCAGTCGACAGGCGACTCAGGCGACTGAAGCGATCATGGTCACGTGGTACTTTAATCCGACGAAATCCATGGATCGCTTAGCTAGCCTAAGGATTCCCTTCTGCTATAAGAGTTATGATAATGCTCGACCTGTCAGGGCGCCGCCTGGTCTTCACTATCTCCCGTGGTAACACGTGATTCGTGACATTAAGCCCCGTAGAACCGAATCATGGTCTACCACTACTCCTTCCTTTCTACTCAGAATATAAATACTATCTAATTACGCCAAAGATAACTTTATTCCGCGGACTATAGAATTAAACCAAGAACTCAAAAAACTAATAATAATTAATTTAAATTAAATTTACAATCAAATAACTAACTAAAAAGTCAAACGTTAAACATACATATTTACATAGAAGCTAGGGATACCTCCCTACGTAGGTCACTAGAAAGAAGTCAATTTAAAATATGATTTTACTACCATTAAACTAATAGTGTCCCGAAGAACGTCCAGAGTTTACTTAATAGTACATATAACCACTCCCCTGTTCCAATGTCCAGACTCCCACTCCGTGGAGTTGACGAGCTTTGGAGGCGTTTTCAAGGCGTTTCACTCCGTGGCACCTACCCTTGATCATCTTCATTGCAGCCGTAATACCAAGGGACCGGCGATCCTTTTCTCGATCCTGATTCGACAACTCTATATCATTTCGCCTCAAAAAGGACTAATTGGGCCATAGTCACGTGACTTCAATTTTTCATGGAAAACTTCTTTCATGATGCACCAATCAAGCTCCACCGGCAGAATCCTTAGCGAGTCTTGGTACGAGCACGCAAGCCTGGGCGCAGATTCCGAACCCAAGGCTGGAAAGCCACCTCGAAAAATAGTTGCAGTGGCTTCATGGCTTCGTCCCAACGTGAGCTTGACAGCAATCCAGCACCGTGAAGATTGCTTTTTTATCTAGCGGGGGCAAAAAATGGGTGAATGGCTTGATCAAACCGACTAGAGTGGATAATACAAAATAAATCGAAATGGCGTGCTCTCAACTGGGGCTATCCCGAGACAATTAAGCGAAGGCATGTACTCGCAAGAGGTGGTGCAGATTGGCCCGGCATGGAGATAACCTTCTTGACAGAATTTATAAGTACTGCACCGGCTGCTTTTCGTATTCAGGCTGAGCAACCACCCCCTTGGTGCAATCATCAGGATGCCATCACCTCAATCGCAATCGCGAGCCGGCAACTTGATTGCCAAGGTCCTTTGCATTAAGACTGATTATCGGGACGAACCAACGGATGGTATCACCAGAGGGGAATCCGTCCTCTCCGACTCCACTATACAAACCTTCATCGAGGAAGACCCGACGTCGATAGATTGGATCCGTGATGTTCTTCCTGGCCGAGATACTGCTAAGCGATATGTAAAAGAACTCTTCCCTTTCTTAAACTGGATCACTCGTTACAATTCCCAATGGTTCATCGGAGATCTTGTTGCAGGTAAGCATCTGTGTGTGAATCTTACGAAGCTTGGCTTGAAGCTTACTTTCTTCAGGTCTCACGGTGGGTGCTGTAGTCGTCCCTCAAGGGATGGCTTATGCCATTCTCGCCAAGCTGCCACCTGAATATGGACTCTACACATCGTTTATGGGGTTTTTACTGTACTGGGCTTTTGCTACTTCCAAGGACATCACAATCGGGGTAAACCTCACCCAACTCCCAGTGTTACCCGAGCGGAGGGCTAATAATTCTGTTAGACTGTTGCTGTTATGTCAACTCTAGTAGGAAACATCATCATCAAAGTCCAAGCTGAACATCCCAATATTTCGGCCGAGGAAATTGCTAGGACTTTGGCTGTCGTTTCGGGATGCATTGTCCTCTTCATTGGTCTCGCAAGAATTGGATGGATTGTTGAATTCATTCCTCTGACTGCGATCACGGCTTTTATGACAGTAAGTAAACAACCTATTCTGATATCGAAAGGCGTCTAATCCTTTTAGGGATCTGCCATCAGTATCGGCGTCGGTCAGCTACCTGCAATGATGGGCATTCCAAATATCAACAACCGTAAAGCTGCATACAAGGTTTTTATCAACACATTGAAGCACCTTGGCAATTCACATCTGGATGCTGCTATGGGCTTGTCAGCTTTAGTCATGCTCTATGGCATTCGTGCATTCTTCAACTTCATGACGAAAAAACAGCCGCAGAGAAAGAAGATGTGGTTCTTCCTTTCTACCCTCCGAATCTCCTTCGTTATGTTATTGTATATCATGATTAGCTGGTTGGCAAACCGACATGTCAAGGACGCAAAGAAAGCGAAATTCAAGATTCTAGGGAAGGTCCCAAGAGGTAACTTCATCCAACCCCGTCTCCGTTTCCCTTATCTCACGTTTTTACAACAGGATTTCAGCACGTTGGAGCTCCTCAAATGAACACGGAAACCATATCTGCCTTTCTACCTGATCTCCCAGCCACTGTTATCGTGCTCCTCATCGAACACATCGCTATTTCCAAGTCCTTTGGAAGAATTAACAACTATACCATCAATCCTTCCCAGGAATTGGTGGCTATTGGGTTCACGAACATTTTTGGTCCCTTCCTTGGTGCCTATCCTGCGACCGGATCATTCTCCCGCACCGCCATCAAATCTAAAGCTGGAGTACGAACACCTCTCGCTGGTATATTCACAGCAATTGTCGTTTTACTCGCTCTTTACGCTCTGACCGCAGTCTTCTTTTTCATCCCGATGAGCAGTCTCGCTGCTATAATCATTCATGCTGTAGGAGACTTGATAACACCCCCAAACATCGTCTACCAATTCTGGCAGGTTTCTCCCCTCGAAGTTCCAGTCTTCTTTGCGGGCGTTTTGGTTACTATTTTCACCAACATCGAGAATGGCATTTACGTCACTATCGCTCTCTCAGCAGCCATTCTACTATTCCGCGTGGCTAAAGCACAGGGTCGCTTCTTGGGTAGGATTAAGGTCGCGTCGGTTCCAGCGAGCAGTTGGCCACAGGATACAGGAAAGAACAGTCTCTACAGCGACTCCGACAAAGGACCGTCTGTGAACGCTATACGAGACGTGTTCGTACCGCTTGAACATCAAGAAGGCTCGAATCCGAATATCGAGGCTCAATCTCCAGCACCAGGAATCTTCATTTACCGATTTAGCGAGGGGTTTAATTATCCGAACTCAGCCCATTACATGGATTACTTTACCGAGTACATTTTCAAACAAACTCGACGAACCACTCTTGACACTTACGGGAAACTTGGTGTATGAATTCTCTTTTCTTTTATTCCTTGCAAACCCTTTGGTATAATGATACTAACAAAACAAAGGACCGACCTTGGAATGACCCTGGTCCCCGCCGCGGTCAACAAATCAGCCTCGACGACCACAGGCCCATCCTACGAGCCATAATCCTTGATTTTTCTGCAGTAAACAACGTAGACGTTTCCTCGGTGCAAAATCTAATCGATGTACGCAATCAACTCGATCGCTACGCCGCTCCCGAGATCGTCACTTGGCATATCGCATGTGTAAACAATCGCTGGACAAAACGTGCCTTGGCAAGTGCTGGATTCGGATATTCAAAGACGACGACAGCACAAGGGAAATGGAAATCGGTTATTAGTGTTGCGGACTTGGACACTGGAAGTAACTTGGGCGGGGAAAGAGAGTTAAAGGGGGGCAAAGTTGAGGATTTGGAAATTGGTGATGATACCATAACCAGTTCTGTGAAGAAAGGATCTCTCACTACCAAGACTGGTACAGTTTTAGGCGTTGTAAGTTTCCCTTCGTTCACTATATTCAATTTTCACTTGAATTCTCTGCATGATACACGGAGGCTAATTCACTGGTGTTGCAGAATCGACCTTTCTTTTATGTTGATGTACAAAGTGCGGTGGAAAGTGCAATGGCGAATTATGAGAGCGCAACTTTCAAGACCGCCTAATTTGATAATATCTTGCTTTCACTTCTAATTCTACCGCTAGAAATAATGTATTAACGCGCTCAAAAAGCCAAAAGCCTTTTTACCTTCTAAGAGTGGCTTGCTTGCTCTGGATCATCATATTCTGTGATTGCCTACTGGTGAACCCGTGATAGATCTTGGTCTCGATTTCTTTTTACGTCTAAGTATCTCAAGCGCCCAGCATCCTGAAATCCTCAATCATGACTTAAATATATGGCTCCGCCCCTTCCGTCGCAGGACTAGGAGGCAAGTCCCCCGTAGCCCAGCTCGTATCCTCGTCGCCCAACACAAACTCAATCCTCCCCCCTTCCTCAAAAACATCACCCCAAACCAACCAACTCTTCGTCCACTCCACCCCATTAACCCTAACACTCTGAACATAATATTTCGAGTCTCCATTCCCATCACCCCCTTTACTTACAATATCCAATTTTTTCCCGTTGCCCAAATCGATCGTCAAAGATTCGAACCAAGGCGAATGAATGAGAAATGTCGTTTGGCCGGTAACAGGATAAAGCCCTATCATATTCCAAAGCAGCCATGTCTGCATAGCGCCAGCATCGCTGTTTCCAGGGAGTCCGGTCGGAGAGGTGTTGTATTTTTGCTTTGCTATTTTGCGAGACTGGTAGACGGAGCGGTTGGGGAGATTGATGTAGTTGTACAGATACGGAACGGTGAATGTCGGTTCGTTGGTCGCATCGAAAATCACATCATTCGGTCTACTAGGGTTTGCGCCAACTGTAAATGTTGCCTCAAGACGCTCATAAAACCTTTCTTTGCCTACCATCCACTCGATCAATTTTGCCATATCGTGGACATCTGTGAAAGAGTAGTCCCAGCTTGTAGCTTCGTAATACGGATCTCCCCAGTATCCACTATCGCCCAACGAATCCGTAGGGAGAAAAGAAGTTTCATTTCTTGGAACCACAAAGCCCTTGAAACCTAGTGCTGTCTGCTCCGGATTCCAGTGATTACGCCAATTTCTCGAACGATTGAGATATTTGGCTGCATCTTCGGTCTTGCCAAGACCGTTTGCAATTTGGTAGAGAGAAAAGTCGTTGTATGCGTATTCCACCGCTCGTGAGGCGGCTCGAGTATATTTCGGTGTGATGAATCCATATTCCAACCAATCTGGAAGCGCACCACGTCCCTCTTTGGTTGAGGAATCTGGTGCCATTGGATCTGGATTTAAGTTCGGAGGTGCGACTTCAGCGTCTTTGACCATTGCCGCGTAGCCATCATTCCAACTGACCCTCCCACGGACTCCTTTCACATAAGCGTCAGCCAGAACGTTGTCGGCATTTGAGCCTCCTTGGGTTCTCCCGTTGTAATTAGACGACCGCGCATCTGGGAGATAGCCGTCATGGCGCCAGATGTCAATCAGGGAACGAATGTGCTCCTTGTAAACAACAGGTTGTAGGACATGGAGTAAAGCCGTGGAGCATCGGAAAAGATCCCACAATGTGAAGATATCGGAGTAATATGGCTCCTCTGACTTCCAGCCAGGGTTCTCTCCAGTTTGGTTTGTGGGCAGAAGATTCATGAAATATAGGGATGTGTATAGCAGTTCTAAGCTATTGGTGTTCGTTGAAGTTGTTGTGATCTTTGAGAGCACTTGGGAATTCCATGCGTTCTTTGTAGAATGGACGGTTTCTTCGAATGTTGTTGTTGCGGGGATTTGATCTTGGACGTTTTGGCAGGCTTGAGCTTTCGAGATCCATGATATGCCAACTCGGGATTGGACAATAGTGTTGTTGAATCTGAATATACCGCCGACAAGAGTGCTAGAAGTCGAGTTCGCTGACCCAGAAGTTTGAACAGTAGTGCCTTGGTAAACTTGAGCAAAGTTTGGTTTGGAGTCAAAGTAACTACCTGTTAGAAGTCAGCTACTGGTGATCATCGATTTGAGAGCAACTTGCAAGAGTATATCTTCCAGTTTGGAGATCTGTTCCAGCCATTATTGTAAATCCCCAACGCCTCATAATGGCCATCTGGATAAACCGTAAACTCCCCACCAGCATATGCTTGACCTAAACCCTGGCCACGAAAAGACGGAAGCACATGACTGACATCGACAAGAACACTGTTCTCGGTACTCGAAGCCGGAAACGTGTATCGATACGCACCCGCTCTCTCACTTGCAGAAAGCTCGACCATGACATTCTGAATCGTTTTGGCCTTATAGTGACCGAGAGTTGCTTCATCAGCCCCTAATCTCCCAATCGTAATTCCAGATAATGGATCACTGATATTCCCAATCACCGGTAATTGAGCGACAGTTCCGTACTTGGGGGCCCCTCCAGTACCTTGTTCGTGCATCAGACTGAAACCAGAGAAGTTCCCATCAACCAAGTAGCCTGAGTACGAATCCGTGCCTTCCTTCAACAAATCTGGTCCTATCTTTACCATACCATGTGGTCTAGCGACACCAGGAAAGTTGTTGCCTCCATTTTCCGTTCCGGAACTGATTCTTGTCAGATAACGCGAAAACAATCCTGATAACTTGACTTACAGAACTTTGACGTATTTGCTGTAGTCCTCTTGTGCTTGTATCTCGAACACCAGTAGTGAAATTATGAGTAATGTAGAAATCATCGCTAATAAGCCCACCTTCGCTTTCTCCCCTCCGACTTGCGAAGAAAAGTGTTTCTGGTAGGTAAAGACTGTACGGTTGCTTAATACGTACTCATTACCACCAGCCAGTACGTAATTTGCTCTCGTTCTCCAATCCCCAGAAAAGGATATGAGGAGTCGTAAATTCCCGTTGCGGGGTTGTGATCCTACTGCTTCCTCAGCCGCTGGGCTTAGCAGGAAGGAAGACAGCTCGGACAGAACAAATTTCGACTCTAATTACTAGCAGCGACTTTTGAGGAATTTGGGTAAATTTTGATGTAAATTGTGGGATAAATCTGAATTGGAATATATCCGAGTTGAGGGGTAGGGTAGGTACTGTACAGTACTGCTTCAGGTGATACAGTACCGACCAATGGGATGACAGAATGAGAGCATTCACAGATGCGTTGGTCAGGAGCATCACGAAATAACACCCATAGAACCGCAGATACTCGGTACAGTCTTCGACATCAAACACACCTGCCATTTCGGGCCAAGTGGAACCGATCAAGGTAGATGACGGCATATTCGTCAGTGTATACTATGCTGTGACAAGGGGTGCATTGCCATCGTTCCCTAGCACTTACCTTGTGTCACGACGTACCCTCCAAATGGCAACTAGTGTGGTTACAGCCGCTCTCGAGAATCAAGAAGTACCGGAATAATTTGGTGGGTAGTATGTGAAATCTCATTTGAATGATAGGTTACAGACTGGAAACAACAATAAGTTCCGGCAGATTAGGTAAGGAGTCATAAATAGGCAAGTAATAGAAACGACGCACACCCATATATAACGTTAACCCAATATGAATGTGACTAAACGTAAAATGATACCCAGGATTCGCTCTATCTGAGAACCCTTTTTAAAAACAAATCTTAAAATCTGCGACTTTGGTGAATGTACCCCACTCAGACATGAAAGAATGCCTAAGAATGTGAAACTGAATAAGGGTACAAAATGTTCGCTTATCAAATCTACTTATTTGGCGTAAGTTCAAAAAATATCCCAAATTGTTCGAGAAGATTCAATACCCAAATTAATTCAAGTGCCCTATGAAACTAGCTTTATTCTCTCCTACCACGTGCTCCCAAAGCACCTTCGGAATTCAAGCCATTCATTACCTTGATATTTCAAACGGTCTTACCCATACAGTCTTCGAGATCTAATACAACAGACGGTTTGCTAAGGAATTTTTGCACCCTTTCGAGTGGGGCTTGACTATATCTTAAGCTAATTATTTGGTTTAGCTTCTTCTAAAGATCTCCTCTTTATCTCCATCGTTAGAAGCATTGCGATCAGTTCTTGTAGAGACGTATTACTAATAACGTAAGAGTACACAACTTCACAAGTGAGGGAAACTTCGACTCAACTAGACGTTGCACAGTTGCACTCAACTTCGACCCACTAGAATCGAAATCTCTTTGGCCCACGATCGCGGTAGCTTGTTCGCTCCTCCCTCTTTTGTTTGATACCACCTCGCATCCCAGTACGCGCAGTATCCTCCACCTTCCTGCATTCATCATCGGATCACTCACTACGAGTACACGTCCCTTATCTACTTGCCCACGAGAGAAGTCTCTTTCAGTAGGTATGAGTTCAAGCTCAAGTTATTGCTATTTACTTGTCCTACGACGTACATATATACATTTTCAACCCAGCTTTGATACAATACCAAGCCACGTGACCATACCTCCTTTACCACTTTCGCTTTTTACAGACCGAACCATGCAAGGTCGATATCTTCATGGATGGGAACAGTATGGCCTACATTCTGGCCGCTGTATCCAATAAGCTGGAAAGGGTTAGTATTTGTTCGTTTCTGAAGAGATCATGGATAAATTTCATACCTTAGTTCCATCACCATACACCTTCTTGGTGTAGCCTGATTGTGGATTATTGGCCACATCTTGGGTCAGAGCGAGATTAAAAATGTTAGACCACTGCTTCAGCGCTTCCGCAAAGTTGGGATAGCCAAGGGTGGTATCTGCAGTTCCATGCCAGCTGCGAGAGATGTCAGTCATTGGACCGAGTCGATTGATTGTATGGCCCAACTCACATCAACATCTTAGGATACGTTCCATTGTATCCTGGGTAGTAGCTGCGCGTGAGATCACCCCATTGTTGAGCAGTCTTGACAGATTTCCCGTTTGCACAGTCGTTGTTCCATCCTGGGGTGGCCATACCAGCAGTGGCGGAGGAAACATAGAAGCAGCCATCTGGGACGCCAGAGTAGCTGGATCCGGCTTTGAAGATATTGGGATAAGCTCCAGCTAATACGTTGGTCATCATGGCGCCTGAACTGCTTCCTGTTGCGAAGACCTTGTCTCTGTCTCCGCCGTAATTAGTAACGGCGTAGTCGACCATGTTTACAATTGTCTTTGAGTCTCCACCACCTTCATGTGTCAGAGATGCCTTGGATGCAACATCCTATCAGGACGTTAGTTCATGGTTCTCTCGTTGTAGAAAGAATTGGGGATGAAATTTCTCCAACCACTTAGATATAAGCTCAAAAAGATTGAAGAAAGATAGTTGCTTACCCAGCATCCACCACTTGAAGGAGATTGAGGATAGATGACAATGAATCCCTTCGTATCCGCCAGAGTCGCATACTTGGAGTTCGAGAAGTACGCATTCGCAGTTCCCGTACAATAATGAATCGCAACAATAATCGGCGCGGGTGTCAATTTCTTAGAAGGCACATAAATGTACATGCCAGCATTCGTCGGACCAGCTTTGAAGTTATTAACCTTCTGAAGTTGACCCTGCGCAGCATCCGCGATTCTCCCCAGCACAAGGGCCGTCGCAAGCAAAATGGATGTGAGATACATGTTGACGATTGCTGACTTTGATTACTTCTGAATCCGGCACGACGGTGATGGAAAACAATAAGAGAGGAAAGTGGCTTATATGGCCCTTCCGGAAGAACGTGGATTTCCTCTCGTGGCCAAGCAGCTTTACCTACCCCCTTCGCCCGATGTCTCAATCTCGAGTCTATCTCGATATAGTCCACATGACAAGGTTACGCGCAAGATCTGCCGGGGCGCAGCGAAACTGTGGGGAAATACCCGGAGGCAACGATGGAAGTTGATTCTGGCAATAATACACCACCTGATGGAGACAATATAAACGGAAGTGTCTCTCCTCTCTGATTCGATGCAAAGCCTGCGGTCCGCATATTCATATTAAACCAGGCTTTCAGGGGCGTGTTACTTTTAAATAGAAGTAAATTTAAATGAATGAGCTTTCTGCAGCGGCGGCCAAAAAGGCTTGTGTAGGATTCAAAATGAACTGATGGCACTTCATTTATCAGAGTGTTCCGTCGACACGGTTCAGCCTGTTTGGGATGGGACCACGACCATGGAACGATGTGGGGTTTCTTGGCATCACGAGGCGTGGTTTTTATAGTAGCCCCCATGCTTGTGTATTACTTCCTGAAATGCAATACATACTGACATCCTCTATCAACCAACTCGCATCTTCTCAAGCACCTTCATCGCCCCTCTACTATGGATATCAACACCTCACTCCACCGTACGAAGTAGATATCGGAAGGTTTCCAGTACCATCCATGTGCCTTGGCAGGAAAGCTTAAATCCATACACTGTAAATTACACCCTTTTTTCGTTATTCAAATCAAAGATCTTCCAAGATCTCATTTAGCCACTGGCGTTTATGGTTTATCCGCGCTCTCGGCTTTACATTGCCCCGCATCCTTTCTGTGCTTTGCCTGTGAGTACCGTATGACTGGCTAGGTTTCTATATACAGAAATTGCAGAAGTGGGATGGATAGATGTCTGGATTTGGATTAACAGTTGTGTGTGTACCCGGAGGGTTTTTTGAGACGCTATTTTCTTCACAGAATTCATTCTTAAGGCTGCGCTTAGGAGTCTTGCACCATTCTTCACTTTGAATAATTTCTCAAGGGCTATTATAACATGATTACATCAGGCAAACAGAAGATTCCATCACAAGTCTTTCCCACATCACAACACACAGCCAGAAATGCTTTTTGAAGCTATTGATTTCTTCATATATTATATTTGAGTCGGGCTTGATTACTCAAGCAAACGCCAGAACACATTGTCTAATGTTACATTGCCCCTCTTTCAAGCTAGTGTTATACGAATTATTAATTTCCCGGTAACCTTTTGGGTATCTACTGAGATTAGGAACCTTATCCTATTTTGCTTTTTGATATATGGCGGCATAATATATGTATGTCCTTACTCTTCTGATTTCCCTTTCGAGGCTGCCCCCACAACGTGATTGTAATCGCCTGGCAGCGTCAAAAAATGTGAGTGGCTGGCGAAAAATGGTCTCTCCATGTTGTCTGGTTTGAGGGGAATTCTTTGTTTGTAATGCCGTTGCAGTTTTGACTATCTCTTTGAGATCGTAGAAGCCTTGGGATTGCTCCTATGACTTGAAGAACTGATGATTTGCGTGGAGGGGTATTTTGAATTGGTTGCCTTCAGCTTTGATAGGCAACGGGAGATGTTCTAGAAATTTCCTCCTCTCGTTCTGAGTTTCGTGGTATGCGATATAATTTTGTCGGGCGTTTTGAACCTCTTGCATCGATTCCGAATCATCTCAGAACCTTCATCCAGAATGATGAGGCCAACGTCAATCGACCACAACCATCGACGGGGAATTCTCAACTTCTGGAAGGTGTGTATACCTTCCTAAACATGTCAAAGTGCTCTTTCTTGTAGGCGATGCTGCCCTTCATTTCAGGAAATCCCTTGTCTCGAAAGGTCAAAACAACATTCCGCATCTTTAGACACAGACCAATTAACTCGTCGTCGTCTCCAACGAGATCTCGATTATTCTTTTCGTCCATTGCGAGGAGCAAGGGATTGCTGGATCGGAAGAGGGCCATGTGTGTAGAAAGCAGCAATCGGAGGCTGACGAACTGATAGTCGGCTTGTCCGTGGGCTAATAACAGAGTCAGTCAAAGAATTATGTGGTATTTAGGCAATTAGATCTTACCTTTGCTTTGGAACTTCTTGGCGATATTCGATAGATGGCTAGAACTCAGAGACACAATGCGAATGAGCTGCCATAGTACTAAAGCAACCGGAAAGATCTGCTCCCGCGTCAAGCATCCAGCAGTTCGGAATATCAAACGTTGGAGCATTTGGAACAATTCCATTTCCGCAATTTGCAATCTTCCATAGAGTATGGTGTCCACTCGTGCCTGAACAGTTCGGAAATTGGAATTTGCATCAGAGGTTGAACTCGAGAATTTTATTCCAGCACGGAGTACAAAAGCTAAGCATGCTACCCGAAGCATCGTTGCCACGAGTTTAGACTAGAAGTAATTAATATTTGCTTTTTGCAAGATCAAGTAGCACTTACTTCGGGCAATTCTTTTTTGACGTAGGCTGTTCCTAGAATTTGCGCCATGGTTGTAGAGTAAAAGGCGGGGCCTGCAGCATGGACGAACTTCGACGTGTATTCCACTGCCCATTGTTCGATTTGCTGCCCTAACTTTTTATCGTCACCAAGCAGGACCACCTCAATATCATCTTTGGGTACGGCAGCTGGTTCCGAATTTGACGTTTGCAGAATAGCATCCTGCTCCAGACAATCGAAACTACTCAGAAGTCTTTTTCCGGCGTGAATCTTTATGGTATGAGATACACGACCTATTCCATCAATGGTCAAAATTTCCCGGTTACTGTCATCGATCAGGTCAAGTGGAATGTTTACTTCAAAACAAACAATACGTTTTGTCGATGAGAATTCAAAGTCTTGGGGAGTTAGTTAGCGTCTTCCACCTTCAAAGTTTCAAGTACATACATTGATGCACCAGTTTTCCCACAAATGGACTCTCCCTCTGACACTTAACTTCATGAAGTCCATTACCGTTTTTCAGACAAGACATACATGGTGTTCCAGTAGAGCACTGTCAAGGGTATTAGCAACCTTGAAAAGCACACATTTAAAGTGACTTACGGTTCGTTTGCGAAATCTACATTGATGGCAAGCTCCAGCTTTTCGAACATCCCTCGCCGCTTTCCTGACTGGGGCATCTAATTTTCTTCTGTGTTTGACAGTTGATAAAGCGCCCGGAGCGTTCTCAAACACAACCACAAATTCCGAAAGGTTCTTCTGGGGATCGTTCGTCCGACTGCGCTTTGGTGGAGCTGGATCTGGGCTTGCTCTTTTCCTCTTTGGGGGAGCGACTGGATCAGTTGCAAGACTCAGCGATTGCGGTGTTATTTGAGATCCGGCTGGCCAGTGTAGTTGCGAGGTCGAAAATGGTGTTACCGGGGATAGATTTACTGATGTGTCATATTCCAAAGGTTGTTCTTGAGAGAACTGCGCGGGCCATACCGGGCTTTGATTTTGATGTAAATCTGAGTTGAAAGTCGTCTCGTAGGGGCTAAGAGTATCATACGAAGTGACTGAGGCGGCTTGAAGTGGTATCTGATTATGAGGAGAGTGCGTCTGGTCGATATGTGTAGGGTGGAGGTAGTAAGTTGGGTAGTTGGCTACAAGTTGGTTGACCGATTGCATTTGTGAGAAACCATCTGTATTCTCCAGAGGTGGCAAGTAGTACCCAGCGGCCGCATGGTACGGTTCGGAACGGGTATAAGTAGTTTTGTTCGACTGAGAAATGTCTTCATAAGGTGATGATGTCTCTAAGTAAGGGACCCCATCATGTGACCATTGGTTCTGTGTTTCATAGCCTGGATAGGAGGTTCCGGTAAGCCAATCTGCTGTGTGGAAGCCTGGAAAGCCAGCAGAATCAGGTGTGATGAGGTAATTGGGCATATACGGATGTGAAGTTGAAAGTTGAAGCGGTTGTCCGTCAACTCCTCGTGACTGTCGACCTCGGGGTCGTTCTTGTTCTTGTTGACCTTCTCTGAGCACAATTACCGGTTCGAAATCGGTAGCATGTACCTCGGCCATATCCGCATCTGCTCGAGATCAAGAGATTCCGGCCAGTCGCCAAAGAATGGAGTATGATCTTTTCCGTTTGGGGCGATATGTCTTTATGTTCCTAAAGAAGTGGTTGTTGAAGAACACCACATGCTATGCAGTGCCAATGGAGGAGACATCGATCACAAATGAGAAGAGCCGCGACGGTGATAGCTCTCTGCCAACCATTTGGATCTTCAGATGCAAGGCGCGATATGGAAATGATTGCGATTTGGTTCCACTCGGAACTCCAGGATTCTGGACAAATGGAATTCACACGATTCTCGGGCATATATCCTCAAGCGGTAGTTGATGTCCGGGTAAGGCATCATATCAGCAAGGGGTAGGGATTAAAGGCCATGTGCCGCGGCACGGTCCCCGGCAAAGCAGTTGATAACTGGGAGCAGCCCAGGTTCAGAGTTCAGACTGGTGGACTGGCAGACTGGCAGACTGGCTTGGGACGAAGTTGGGCTGCAGACAAATTTCTGCCAGATCCAAAGTCAACATCGTTCGATAATGACCATGATCTTTAGGGGGTATGGTTACGCCTGTATAGGAAGAACCCATGCAACCCATTCCATACCAGACAGGATGCTCACGAATGGAAGATATTGGTTCATGGAGAGCTGATGAAGAGAAGCAGCCATGGTGAGAAGAACGGGATCATTCTTTCCGCGGGGATTTCTCTTCCTGTTCGCCAGCGTCCATGAACAACATTGGTGGTATTTCTTTTCGTATTCGGGAAGCCTTCCTGCGTACCTTCCTGCGTATTCAACTATCAAATCCTAGTCTATTGGCTTCGGAGAACACTTGGTGAGCTTGTCTTGATATGGCCCCAATGCTGACATTATTAACAAACTCTCAAGCAGCTCTCTGAAAAGGCTAAACTTCACAGTACCCGTATCCGTTCCCAAATACACCTCCCAAACATACCACATTTAGACCAATCAAAACCCTTCTCACAGCCCATTCTCTTTCTACAATTCGTGGTTCTTGCGTATTGGTAGTGGATTGGGAGGCAGGTCAAACAATGCATCACCAACCTTCTTCACCCACTTCCACGGTTCATATTCATCCCAATCGCTCATACCAGCATCATGATACTCCCAACCACCAACCCCCCCAAGGCTAGGATGTATAACTCGCAGACTTTTAATGGTTTCCTGCAACGTCTCAATATGCACAAACCCATTCGGCTGTCCATCCTCAGCACAGTCCAACACAATCGTGACAACTCTATTAGGATCCCACCCAGCTCTTACAACAGATTCGAAGAACGGTGGACCTCTCGCAAACCCCCCATAGAAGAGGCCATTATACCAAGAGACAAGCTTTTCGTCGGAACCTGGCATGGTTGCAAAGATGTCGAGGTCGAAATACGAGAATCCCGAGAGGTTCTGTCCCGCTTTGTCGGATAGGGCTGATGCGAGAGGTGCCATTGTGATGATAAAATCGGGGCCCAGATCTCGACGCAAGGCGGTCATCAAGCGAATGGGGGTGCTGATGTCCACATCTTCTTCGATATCGAGATCGATGCCGTCGAAGTCGTACTCTTTCAACAGGCGTAGCAGAGGATTGTAGAAGGCGTAAAACTATTGCTTTGGGTGAGCGGGATGTCTTGATTACATCAGGGATGTTCTGTTTTGGGTGGCAGGTGAGGAACTGGGAAATCACTAACCGACGCCTCGCTTCCGTTCAATCTCTTGTAAGTCCCTCCCGCGGCACCTCCTAGTAAAGCCATTACTTTGATGCCATTATGCTGCAATACGGTCTTCTCAAGCCAAAGCTGGTTCCAATGCGGATCACTGAGTTTATGATCATTCAATCTGATTTCGCCTGGTACATCATGCAAGTGCAAAGAAGCCAGTATAACATGTGTAACTTTCGTTTCATGTTCGAGGAGTGGCAGCAGTGATAAAGGTTCTTTGGATGGCGTTTGGAAGGTCTGAACATACATCACCAGCCTCGCTGGCTCGATATCATGACTTGAATGGCTTGGATGGATGTGATTTGGTTCGTGTAGAACTGGAGCATCGGCGTGCCATGCTAGAGTCGTGCTGAATAATGCGAGTAGTGACAGAAAAGTAATAAAAAGCTCCATGGTCTTGGGACTGAATCACTTCAAAGCCATGAAGTACCTCTCAGTTCTTGAATCCTCATTTGTGAGCGAAAATTAGAACATAGTGTGAAGAAGAAATATCTTGCAGTCATGGAACCAAGTCTACAGCACGAAATCCATTATTGCTCAAGCCGTCACGGAAAGGAATTTAGCCCATGGGGCCACAAGTTACTTTGTCAGATGGTGGGATGTATCCCGCTGTTCCTTAAAGGCTGTATTTCTTAGCCGCCATACTAAGGAGCAAAAAAGCATGGCAACCTTATTCGCGAATTACAGATTGGATCTCGGTGTCTACCGAGATCCTTGATGGAGGATTTCATAGTATTTACCCGTTTTAGCCTGCACAGAGTGGTTGAACTCGGTTGATACATCTAGCGTACCTTGGCTTCTTTAGTTGCCACACGCGAACATCACTATTCAAACTCTTGGATGAGATTACTGGGATACCCTTTGTCTTTTGTTTTTGTATTTTCCTATGTCCCATGAAAGAAGAAGTATGATAACTTGTTCCTTCTAGCCATTACTTGTTTTTTCTGAGACTGTAATGTTGTACATCAACGAAAAAGATCAAACGCTGGCAGCAATGATTCTCCCCTCCCAGCTCGCACAGAGTCTTGTATCGAACCATCAATGTCCATCGCGATCCCCCATCACGTCAATTCATCTCTATCTCAGCCAGTCTTCGACACCTCAGCGCTCTTCCCTGACTTCTCCATAAGTTGTTGGACATGCTCAATATCTCTCATTTTCCTGATCAAGGGATTAGCATCCATAGTCGCCTTGAACTCCTGGTACTTTAGAAATCTCTTGTATTGCTCGTCCGGTGCTGCCTTTGCCTTTTCGAATTCCTTGAATGTCAAGTATTCTTGGTAGGCTGAGTTCTTACTCTTGTCCGCTTGGAATCGTCTTGTGGCGTGATATTCTTGGTAAATGGGTTCGCGAAGTTTTCTGTGTTTGAAGTCTTCAACAGCGAGGTACTGCTTGAAATGTTCGTTCTTTTGTTTTGTGCTTTCGAATTCCTTGAAAGCAAGATATTCTTTGTATCTTGAACTCCTCTTGGTTTTAGAAAAAGATTTGTAGTCCACGTATTCCGTGTACATGGGGTCCTTTTCCTTTGATTTCCCGAAATTTTGGAAGGCTCCAAACTCCTCGTAAGGGGATTCCTTCGACCTTTTCATTCGCTCGAAATCCTTCACCGCGAGATACTCCTTGTAAGTGGGGTCGTTGTTTTTGGTCAGATTAAAACTTTCCAAACGAGCGAGCTCATTCCAAGCTGTCGTTATCCTTTCAAGTTTACCAGCCTCCTCTGGTGCTGTTTTCGGATCTACGTTTACTTCATTATGTGCGATCTGTTCAGAAGGTCTTTTTTGAACACGTAAAATCCTGTCTGCAAGCGAACTGTGGAAGAACGTATATGTTTTGGTCTCAGAGTCATCAGAATCAGGTCGCACATTGTATTGTTTGTAGATCTTTGACCGCAAATCAGTGTCGAGTCCATTCGCTATTAATTCCTACATCTGATTGTCGGATACAGAATCGAAATTGCCAGCCTTGAACGCTTGGAACATTGTATCAATTATTCTCGATTTGGGATCCTGAATCTCGGGTTCTGGCTGCTTCTGTTTCTTTGCTCTCAACGCGGCGATGGGGATGTCGGAATCCGTGTCTGCATCTGTTATGGTCCTTTTTCTTGGTTGTCCAAGATTAAGCTGGGCGGTGTCTTTGAACCATTGTTCCCACGTGTGACTGATGTTGCTCTTTGACGCCATGACGATGAGATGATTCCGCTTCCATTCAACTTGTGTTACGGGGTATTGTTCTTTGGATTAAAGTTATACAATGTCGAATGGATTGACTGGGTTTCAGTAGCAGACTGTCAAAGGTTAGCATGTGCAAAGCTTGTGTGGAGGTAATGGGAAACACCCACTCAAGGATGAAATGGATTGCGAGAGATTGGTAAAATGCACCACTGGTTGAATGAATAATGGTATGTTTTGCAAATAAAATGCGCCTCAGTGTCAAGCGCTAGTGTAAGAACGAGACCTTGGGAGGCAACGGCTAAAGGAGAGTATCAGCGACCGACAAAAGGGAAGGGCTGTTGGTGCAATCACCGATACACTCAGGAGGGAGTGCAAACAAAAAGAGTGGTAGAACGTACCAGCTCTGGTGATGTGAAGTCTTTATCGTTTTGTACCTTCTGGTAATAATGTTGTAATAAAGTGGTTAAAAAAGCTGAGGTTCAAGAGGTGGAAGTGCGGAATAAATTGAGGGTCCAGAGAGAGATTAATGATGTTGAAGTTTTGGAGAGGTTGAAGTCTTGGAAAGTTGAAGTAATTGGCGAGAGATCAGTGATTAAAGGATGATCTTCGCGACCAAGAAGCGACCCCCTCACGCGAAAAGTGAAAGTAAGAGGTTACTCGATCGGCCCGCAAATACGGAAGTGAAGTTTACGAAATACTTCGAAGATGCTTAATAGAGCGACGGAAATGAGGATCGTGGGTATAAAATCAAGTTACATCAAAGAACGGAGCCATTGAAAAAGAAGTGAAGATTTGGTAAAGTGAATCTTCCATCAAAAACTAGTCTTCTGAGACTCTTGCTAAGTTTATAAATGCCCAGTGAGTAAGAAGTAAAATTCCATATTTCTCCAAAGGTCATGTTTCCTACATCTCCATGAGTGAATATCACCCAAGCATGCTTTCGTTCCAGTAATATGTCATCTGGGTAGCCCCTTATAGTATCTGAGTGAATGCAAGAAACAATACCTCGTTACGTTGCCAAGTGATCACTTCATGAGTATCCAGCAAACACCGGGCAAAGGTAAAAGAAAAGGTACAATGGAGGCAATCAAAACACATCTCAATATAGTACTGATCTCTAGAGATTATATCAGAAGAGTAAAGTCAACTCCCAAGAATTCCATCTGGACCTCCCTATACATTTTCACGGAAGAACCATAAACAGACCTCAAGACTACTTACCTCTACAAAAAGCGTAGTTCGGAAAAAACATAAGTTTTGTTTCTCTTCCTTATAATGATTACTAGTAGTTATGTAAAGAATCCGGGTATATTGAATGAGGAATTCGTTTTCAACTGCTTCTAGAAACCCACAAGGAATGGGGCGAAGAAATGGAAGTAAATATCTGGCAACAAACACAGGAGAGTGAACTCTTTCCATGAAACCAGCTTAATTAATGATCCCAAATTCCACTACAAGACAGTAATAAGATAGTAAGAGTATGTTTGTGATAGAAGCTACCTACTTTTAGTCCTAAGTTGGGAGATCAGGAGAAAGTAAATACATCTTTTTTAAAAACCCCGCGACAGAACTTCGAGAAGCTCTTATCTATAAGACAACCAACGAAACATCTTCACTGCTGTATCCTCTCAGACCAATCGTGTACCCATAGTCCATAGCCCATGACCCGCGCAAGCCAGACAAGCAGCGTTCTGTTTGCACCTTCCTTCCAACCAACCAAACCACTCCTCCTTCCCTCCTTTCCTCAAAACCTCAACACCAAAAAGCACCACACATCTAACAATAAACCACAATACGCAAATCCTCAACCCCTTCAAAGCGCAAAAATAAAACTCCCAAAAGAGTAACCTTTGCAATAGGGGAGGTTCGAACTCCCGTCTCCTGCTAACACCAACCCAAAGCGGGACATGATGGGAAGCAGACCAGTTCTGAAAAGCCGTTAGTTATGGATAGAGGAGTTGAGATAGAGAGTTACTTACAACCACTACTACACTATTGCCGTCCATCAAGATACTTGTTTTATGGAGGGTTTTGGTGTCATTCAATTGCTTGTAAAGAAAGTGAAGGGCAAGTGCCTACTTAGTAAACAGATGGTGTGGACCCACTTTACTCACGTGCTGCTGATCGCGGGAGATTTTCGGGTTATGCCGTTCGGTTGTGATAAAATTGGGTGCGATAAGGGAATTTGAGGAGGGAGAGGAGGGGAGGAACCTTCAACTGATAAAGTTAACAGGCAGATCCATACTGACTACAAGCACGTCACATCACCATCATGTTACGAGACGATACTATGTTCCCTCCTCATTTCTCTCAATCCCCAAACTCAGAAGGTCATCTGCTAGAACCTCCTCAACACCACACAAACGATACCTTCGACGATATCTTCGGCTCCGAACCGCCCTCTCCATCTCTCCAACCCAACGAATTCGCACACGGAGGAAGCTGGCATGGAGGGACACTTGGCAACTCGGAACACTCGGATATCCCACGGCTGCGCGAGAAACACGAGACGGAAGGCTACAGAGACGGCGTCACGAAAGGGAAAAGTGAGACGGTGCAGGCAGGTTTTGATGAGGGGTATGGGCTGGGTGCTGTTCTTGGGCTGAGGATTGGAAAGGTTTTGGGGGTGTTGGAGGGTTTATGCGGTGCTGTTACTGCGGGGTCCAAAGGGAGTGATAGAGGGGACTGGGAGGGGGAACGGAAGAGGATTCTAGGGTTATGGGAGGAGGGAAAGAAGGAGTTGAAGACGGAGAGTCTTTTTGCGGTGGAGTGGTGGGGAGAGGATGGCATTTGGAAGTACGATGTGCCTGGAGAGTCGAAGGAGGAATTTGACATAGTTTTTGATGATGTTGCCGCGGCGCATCCGTTGGTGAGGAAATGGGAAGCAGTTGTGGAAGAGGAGGTACGAAGATGGGGCCTTGATTTGTCGTTGATAGAGGATGAAGAACAACAACAACAACAAGAACACAAGGAGAAACCCACAGTGGATGTGAATAATGTCAACAGTACCGAATCTGGCTCACCGCCGACAATTGGGGGTCAAGAAGCAGAATTCAGTTGGTGAGATCTATTGGATCTTCTCTCCTGCATCTGCACATCTGCAGCAAATTACTTGCATTGGCTCGACAACCAATTGCAAGTCTTCGCTCGGCGTCCGTAACCCTGGAAGCTGCTGGAAGTGGACGACTTTTTTCTCCCTCAGCATCAACCAGGATCACAAAGCTTGTTCGCCGAAAAGCTTTCCAGCGCAGCCGCTTGGAGCCCTTCTCTATGTGGAAAGCGGGACATTTGGGTTGGATACCACTAGCAAGTCTGAGTACCTTCAGGAATTACCTCCGATCAGCGATTACTACCACCATCTCAGTGAAAATTGGGATTGACGGTAAGATGATGTGAGGGTTTTCTTTTGATATGCTCTCATGAAGTCGCCGCATTGACAATGTGGATGACAAGCTTTTCTCGCTTTTGCTGGAGAACCATTTTGGAACGTCGAACACACAGCCAAGCAATACGAGATCTCCACGACGTTGCAAACAAGGGCCCCTAGTTTGGGCGCAGTAACGGTAACCGGAAGCAGATATCCAGGGCCTATTTTGGTAATGTTCGGGTATCTAAAATACGACTGTGGATCTGGAAGGAAATGCCCGTCGTCTCACTGTCTGAGAATTGTTGGAGAACAGCTTGGATTTTCGGATCCGGATTTTCAAGGTTGGGGAATTTATTTTTGAGTTTGGAAGTTTACGGGTACGGGTACGGGGAAGAAGAGATGAAAATTCTCCATTAAACTCATGAAAAGGAGGTCTGAATGTTCAGAAATTGAGCTTCGACTGCCGACATATCGATTCAGCAGTGTTCAATAAGTGTCAAAATCTGCAGTGTGACACTTTTTGTACTTCGAAGTACTTCGTAAGGTGCAGAATTCAACCAAATCTGTGCGGCAACACCATGTGCGACCGCTTGTAATGATACGTCTGTGTTGTACAGTGGAGTCGATCCTCGGCTGAGAGGACCCCTTTTCCGTCCCATCTCTTCTCATCCCAGCATCAACATCTCGCGGAGCACCTGCCTTGCACGAATGACCGAATCTGATGAATCCTCCACCACAAGTGGTTGAGAGAAGGAGCAAAGATGCAGTCAAAATGCACACCTGGACGAGATTAGAAGCCGTAAATACGAAGGCCTCAACCTCACTACCGTGATACAGAGCGGTAGCGAGAAAAAATAAGAGAAGTTATGAAATTATATCCAAACTACTTCGTATGTCAAATAATTAATCACTGACCTCTCACAACCCCGTGCAGGTCTCCAAGCTCACCCCTCACCAGGGCGCTTGTTGACCGCAGCCAGTGAGGGTAAGTACCGCGGTGGATCTCCGGACCTACCGTGTGTGCAGTTTCGAGTGGGGACGAGGGGTGGTGATAACAAGAATCTGGGAAGGTTTTATGGTGTTTTCTACTGTCCTTTGCCCCACTGATTGCTCTTGGTGACTCGCCCTGCCGGGCTGCCACTGCCCATGATTACTTGTACCGTAGCTGATTTTAGCTTCCTAGTCGCTTGCTTGCTGGTGGTTGGTCGGAACGAGGTGTTTGAACATCCATCGCGACTTCCTTCCCTTCGATGCTATGCCCGGGGATTGGATTGCTGGACGGCCTTAAACAGGTCTTTCCCATGCCACGTTCCCCCTCTCTTTTTCTCACCACCTCTCATCTCTTTTTTTAATCCGTCGACCTCCTGGCTCAACATTCGTTACCTCGCCGTAACCCACCTTCTTTTCACTGCTCTTCAGCATTTTTATGTGTGAGATCCAATCGCCTCGGATCTCCTAATTACAGTCTTTACTACTTACCTACAAACAACTCCTCGATCGAATCCTGAAAAGCATCAACATTCCTCTAATACCACGACCAATATCCTATCACGACTCGGGGGGTGACGTCTGTTTGTTATAACCTAGTAATTTCTTTTAAGTAAGTTTTTCTGCAACGTTATTTTCTGTTTACCTCTGGCGGCAAATTTCAAACGGATACATGCACAGCGTTCGTTTGGACGGATCAACACTCATGATGCACCACTATTGGTCAAGACCCGTATGACAGTCTTGCAAAGTTGGTTGTTCTGTGTTTGGCTAGTACATCAGCCGAGAAAGCACGTTGTCAACCACAATACGAGAAGACTTGCGCCCCATTGCTCTTCGATATGAACTCCATCGCATCTCTTCCAACCTCCGTACGTTCCCAAAACTCGAATGTTTATTGACAATTGTTGTAGTACCTTTTTCTGGCCATCATGAAGGCTACCCTTTTTACTCTCGGCTTTGCCGCCACGGCTTCAGCCAACATAATATTCAACCATGTTCCTTTGAAGTGTAATATCACCAGCACACAGATGTACCATGGATGTCTTCGCGGTCAAGATTGTACGGCACAAGGAGAGTAAGTTTGATCCACTCCCTCTTTTGGACATTGCCCGTACTGATGGACTTTCAATAGTTGTGTAGCACTCGAGAACATTAACTACCCAAAGTCCTTTGGCGCAGTACCAAATCTTCAACTCCGCGCCGATGTTTTCTCTACCGATGGCACTTGTGGACCAAAGAATGGCAACACAGTCTGCGACCCAAACAGCAAAGCATATACTGGTGGATGTTGTTCGGTATGACTATAGATTCTGTAAAGACATTAAAGTACTGACAACGGGAATAGCAATATGGATACTGTGGAAACACTGCTGACCACTGCGGCACCGGTTGCACTTCTGGATGCCAGAGCCAACCACCAAATGCTCCAACTAACCCAACAACCCCAGCAAACCCAGCACTCCCGATTGCCGCTCGCCAGGATGGACGATGTGGAAAGGTGAGTTTACTCCGCTGGAGGATGCAGAGGATTCTTATACTAATATATACAGGAATTTGGCAACAGTGCATGTGATGCCAATGGCCCATTCGGTGGCTGCTGCTCCGAATACGGGTAAGTTTGTGTTTCTTTAACTCCCCAGCGTAAACCCCAGCGTTTTGAATCTGTTTTCATCTGTTTTTCAATTGTCATATATACATACAAGCCATTTGAACTTACACATAACCCCCCTGTGAAGCTACTGCGGCTCAACCGAAGGTCACTGCAAAGCATCAAATGGATGCCAAAACGGTTGCGATGGATCAAATCCTCCTACCACCCCTGCCCAACCAAATACCACAAACACTGCCGCAACCCCTGATAGCCCAGCTCGTGATGACGGAAGATGTGGAAAAGAGTTCGGAGGCGCATCTTGCGATCCCCTCGGCGAATTCGGAGGATGCTGTTCGGAATATGGGCACGTTAAATATTTGCTTTTATTTGCTCGATTTATATTTGCAGGTTCCCAGCTAACATCTCAGTGACAGTTTCTGCGGCAAAACCGAGGGCCACTGCCTCAAGGCCAATGGATGCCAAAACGGTTGCACTGATGGTGGTAATACTGGCATCAAGGGAGGTGATGGTCCTGCCGCACCTGCGCCTACTGCCTCCCCTGCAACTACTGGGGAACCTGTGATCGCTCCAGCAACATCAACAGCACCACCTCATGTTGTTGCCACTGCCGCTGCCACTACTGATGGATCTTGTGGTAGCACCAACGGAGGAACCGTTTGCGGAAACTGGGCCAATGGTAACTGCTGCTCCATGTACGGTTTCTGGTAAGTTTTTCCAACTCCAGCGATGTGAAGTCTATTTTAACGATAGTAGTGGTGCTACCAGCGCTCATTGCGGAGCTGGATGCCAATCTGGTAACTGCCTCAACGCCCCAGCTGTTGCTGCTCCAGGACCAAGTCCTGCGCCTGCTGCCCCCAACAAGGGATCTTTCAAGGTTGTAGGTGACTCTGGTGTGCCAGCTATGCACGCTGCTCTCATGCCCAATGGAAAGGTGATGTTCCTTGACAAATTGGAGAACTACACCCAACTCAAGAACCCCAATGGTGCGTATGCCATGTCATCCGAGTATGACCCTGCCACCAATAAGGTTGTCCCTCTTGCATACGATACCAACGCCTTTTGCTCGGGAGGTGTTTTCCTCGCTGATGGTCGTGTCATCTCTGTTGGTGGCAACGGACCTTTGGACTGGCTAGACCCCAACATCAAGGATGGATTCGACGCCATCCGTTACTTGGGCAGATCTTCCTCAGATGCTGGTCTCGATGGTCAAAGCTGGAGCGAACCCGGAAACAAGCTTGCTAGCAAGAGATGGTATGCGTCCGCCCAGACTATGCCTGATGGAACCATCTTTGTTGCCTCTGGAAGTTTGAACGGACTCGACCCAACTGTTCTCGCCAACAACAACCCAACATGGGAGCTTCTCGATCGCAATGCTGTTTCCAACGGACAAAACATCGAGATGGAGATCCTGAAGAAGAACCAGCCATACTACATGTATCCATTCGTTCATCTCCTTAACGACGGTAACCTCTTTGTCTTCACATCCAAGTCTTCCCAAATCTTCAACGTTGGTGGCAACACCATTGTCAAGGAGCTTCCAGATCTCCCAGGAGACTACCGAACCTACCCAAACACTGGTGGTAGCGTCATGATGGCACTCACCAGCAAGAACAACTGGGCCCCCGATGTCATCATCTGCGGAGGTGGTGCTTACCAAGATATCAACTCGCCAACTGACGCAAGTTGTGGTCGTATCCAACCTTTGGCCGCTGATGCTACTTGGGAGATGGACTCTATGCCACAAGGTCGTGGTATGGTTGAGGGTACTTTATTGGCCGATGGATCTATCGTCTGGCTCAACGGTGGAAACCGTGGAGCCCAAGGGTTCGGAATCATGAAAGACCCAACTCTCGATGCTCTCTTGTATGAACCAAACAAGCCCAAGGGACAACGATTCAGCACTCTCGCCACCTCTGAAATCCCCAGATTGTACCACTCGGTTGCTCTTTTGCTCCTTGACGGTACTCTTATGGTCACTGGTTCCAACCCAGTTGAGATGCCCATGCTTCAAGCCGATGCCAACAACCCATACGTGACTGATTTCCGTGTTGAGATTTACACCCCACCATACCTCCAAGGAGACAACGCCAACAGACGTCCTACCAACATTGCTATCTCTTCTCTTGCCATCAAGGCTGACGGCAGCAACTTCCAGATCCAGTTCACCGCCCCTGCCAACGCAAAGGAGGTGAAGGTCTCATTATACCACGGTGGATTTGTTACGCACTCGGTACATATGGGACACCGTATGTTGGATTTGGATGTCAGTGGATTCACAGCAGGTGGAACTCAGCAGAGTATCACCGTTGCTGGGCCACCAAACCTTAACGTTGCTCCACCAGGACCATATGTTGTGTATGTCTTGGTTGATGGTGTTCCAGGTATTGGACAATTCGTCTCGGTCTCATAGAGAGGAAGAGATATGTATGTGTGAGTGTTTGCATGAATTAGGACCCAGGCCACATTGTTTAGAAGAAACATGGCTACGGCGTTGTGGAGCGGCTTTTTTTCGTGAATTAAATAATTAGCTAGATTGAATGCCCAAAAAGAGGTTTCAAATTATTAAGATTGCTTTCATGTCCCGTGATTACATGCGCTGGCGGTCGTGGTAAGAGTAAAGTAACATACTCTCGTTTGCTGAAGCCGGATGAAGAGTGGTTGTTTCCTCTACCTGGTACTAGAAGTTGTACGCGGTGACGATACTCATTTCCCTAAGCGCTACGCGGTAGGCAACACGAATGTCATGGATAATCGAGGTTGTGTGCCATCTGTTACAAGTATTCTGACAAGTATGCACTCTGTATGTACACGCCACAAAGTTTTGATTTGGTGGTTGTCAATGTAGGATGGCCAAACCTGGAGTCTACAATTGACTTACTTTGTAGTCTCATCGTAAGCCAGCGGAGTGTGTCCTTCGAGACTAAGAAGTTTAGCGGATTGATATGATACTATTGAATATATTGGGTACGGTTTGGTATCGGTTGAGAAACTGAGGTTCAATTTGAGATTTGACCCAGCCACCACAGCCGCTTGGAGCGCTAGCGCCTTTGGTTTCGGTTCGGTAAGCTAAGGGGAGGGAAGGGAAGGGAAGGAAAGGGAAGGAAAGGGAAGGTTAATAAATTAGATGGCGGGGGGGTGGCTTGAGGCGGGTACAGGGTTGAGGGTTGAGTGTGGTGGCTGGAATGGTTCATGCTTCATGCCTCAAAGAGTTTACTTTACTGTATAGTTGGTGTATTTATTTTGGGGGGGGTAAGAGGGAGTTGTTAGAATATCCTCTGTCCTGTGTTCTATAGATTAATTAGAGGGCTCGTTTATTCTAGGGAGTACAAGTAGAGATTCATAAAGGACTTCCTGGGAGGACAATGGGCAGTACGGACAGTGTATCTATTTTTATTCATCTAGAAGTAGTTTGTTTCGGAAGGATTTGATGCTGCATATGTAGTGGTGTTTATGTGCATTGTTCAATTTCCAGTGCCCCTCGCTTCTCAGCGGCTGCTTGGAGGTGATTGGTTGATTGTCTCCGATGGTGTGCTGGGTGAAGGGGTTGGAGCCTATTAGCATCCCGGTGGGGTTCGATGGTTCGTCTGGTGTTGGGTACTTGCGCTGCGGCACAGAGGGGAACCCCGCTTCAGAATGGGGTTTTTTGGGGGCGGCTGCATTGCGTGTTGGTTGATGAGCTGGTCGCTTCGGAAATGGAGAGGGTGAGTGGGAGAGTGTGTGAGTGCTCTTCTCAGCTGAGAAGGGGACGTGGATCTTTTTTGCGTTTTGGTTTTGCTGGCTTTTTGTTTACGCTGACGTACGGGTTTTGAGGATTGAGAGAAGTGAGAGACAGAGGATATATACCAACAGAACAGACGGAAAGCGGAGATTCACGGGATTGAAGAGAAAGAGAAGAGATATTGTGATTGTTGGAGGAGGTTTATCTACACACAGATTGAAGGGAGGATACCACCAACGTAACACTCACAACACTCACCACCACCTTACCTACCTTTCCCGACTCGAGTCTTTCGATCCTCGACGGCCTTTCCTATCTCCTACCCCCCACACACCGTACGAAGGACCATCAACACGAATCGCCTTCCAGAATTCCCACTCGAGTGCTTCTACGCCAATCCCAAACCCATCCGGATCCCCCCCAAAATCTACCATCTCGAAGGCCAGGCCGAAACCATGTCCCTCGACCCACGCGACTCCCGTCGACGAGGCCGCTCCAAGTCTCCCGGTCCGCGCGACCGTTCGCATTCCATAGTCCGCGCGATGTCTCCTCCGTCTGCCGTGTCGGCCTATGAGTATGAGGAGCGCCGTGAGAGGAGGGATCCTGCCCAGATTGTTACTGCGGAACCGAGGTATGGGGGTGTGGGTGCGCCGGGGAGTGTGAGGATGCCGATGCCTGGCGGGCTTGAGGATGAGGAGAGGGATGGGAGGGAGAGGGGGCTGGAGAGGGGGTATAGTTATGAGAAGGTGGGTGGGAGGTCGGTTTATAGGGATGAGTATGGACGGGAGACGAGTCCGCCGAAGGGGGGGAGGTATGAGGAGGATAGGTATACGGTTGATGTTAACAGGGGAGGGAGGGAGAGAGATCGGGAACGTGAGAGAGAACGAGAGAGGGAGCGTGAGAGGGAAAGAGAAAGAGATGCTCTACGGTACGAGGAGGAGATACGTACAAAGAGTCATTCTTTCAGTCTTTCGGCCGGGGGACATAAGGTTGAAGGAGGTATCAATATTGCCAAGAGAGAGAAGGAGAAGAAGATTGATCCGGCGTTGGCGTATGGGAGTCCGCCTCATGAGGTGTTGCAGGCTTATGCGGAGCCTAAGAAATTTGAGTATTCTCAGCCCGATGCGAACCTTACCTACACGAGGAAGACTGAGTATGGTTCGAGGAATCCGAGTCCTTCGAGAGCGTATGGACGTGATTCGAGAGACTATAGGGATTCTAGAGGTCCAAGAGACTCCCGAGAGCATTTGCGAGACCCACGAGACCCGCGAGATGGGAGGGATCATAGGGATTCTAGACATCATGAACGTCATGGGAGTTCCTCATACGCTTCTGACTCTGCACGTTCATCCAAAAACCACATCGTTACCGTGGAACCTGGATCTCGTCGTCGAGATGCTTCGCCCAACCCTGCAGCCGGTCTGGCACCACGAATGCACAGTCTCTCTGTATCAACCGGTCATCACAGTGCCTCAATGTCTCTTGCCAACGTCCCTGGTTCGCCTCTTCTAGAAGCATACCGCGGAACCTACCAATCCATCTCCCCCATGCCGTCTCCGCTCCTCATGGCCTCCCACTCCTCAGACATAAACTACATCGAAGCCATTTCCCCCTTCAACTCGGACGACGAACGCCGTGGAGGCAAGAAATCCCGTCGTACAGCACGTTTCCACGATCCCGAGGAAGAAGCTGCCATCCTGGCCAAAGCATTGAAAGGCGAGAAACATGCTCCGGATACCAGGCCACTGATTGATATCCTCCCCGGGTTGACACACGAACAAGTCCTTGAACTACGCGTGGAGTATAAACGCATTGTCAAGACGGGACATGATAAGAAGGGGGTTAATATCGCCAAACACATCAAACTCCGTCTCAAGAGCGAGGATTCTTCGCTCATGAAAGCTTGTTATGCCGTCGCTCTTGGACGCTGGGAATCCGAGGCTTACTGGGCGAACTTCTGGTATCAGGGTGAGAAGTCCCGACGCGAGTTACTCATCGAATCACTTATGGGCCGTACCAATCGCGAGATCAAAGAGATCAAAGCGGGCTTCTCGGATAAGAAGTACTCGGATAGTCTGACGAAGTGTATGAAGACGGAGTTGAAAGAGGATAAGTTCAAGAAAGCGGTCCTGCTGGTTCTCGAGGAGAAGAAGATGGAGGAGGGACGGCATGGGGTGGATCGGAGACTGGTGGAGGATGATGTGCATGATTTGCATGATGCGGTGCGGAGTGAGAAGGGGGGCGAGACGAAGATGATTAATATTATTGTGGTGAGGAGTGATAGCCATTTGCGAGAGGTTTTGAGGTCGTATGAAGGTGTTTACCGCGCCAATTTCGCGAGGGAAATGCTTAAGAAATCGGGGAATCTTGTTGTATGTCCCCTTTCCCCCCCATTCCCATTCCCATTCCCTTTTCACCTCCCCCTCTCCCTTTTGTACATATCCACTAACCGAACCACCCAGGGCGAACTCCTAGCCCACATCCTCAATGGCATCATCAACAAACCCGTCCGCGACGCCCTCCTCGTGCACCACGCCCTCTCGCTCTCCTCCCGCGACGCCATCCGCACCGAACTTCTGATTTCTAGACTCGTAAGATACCACTGGGATCGGCCCCATATGGAGGCTGTGAAGAGGGAGTATCGCGCGAGATATGGGGTCGATATGCAGGATGCGGTCCGTGAGGGGACGAGAGGGGAGGTGGGCGCGTTTTGTGAGATGCTTTGTGTGAGGAGGATGGGGGATGAGGTTAGGGAGGTGGGGAGGTAGGTGAGGAGGTAGGGGAGAGGGGGGTTTTTGGATTGAGGGGGTGGGGTGGGGAT